TACAGACAACAACATTGTTGAAACATTCCCTGTTCACACGGATCCATGAAAACCAAAAAAACGCTGTATTATGCTGACAGGCCAGTAGATGACAATGCCCCCTATAGACTGAACATGCAATACACAAGCGCACGATGTCAGTTTTCACAATTTTTTGTAGCATGTAAACTTTGGAATTTGCACTTCGATACCCGTTTTCAAGTTTGCATTTTAAGGGCCCCCACATTTCTGCTGTTTTGTAAATTAACAGCCAAAATGCATATTTTTGTTTTGATATAATAATACTTTTTGTGCACTGTACATCCCTGACCCAACCAGTTACAGATTGTAGAAGTAACTTCTCATTTAGCTATAAACTCCTCCTCAATTTCACATCTGCCTTCCGCGATGTTGCTCCACACAGTCGCACAAAGAAATGTCAACAACTGGACTTTATCGTTATTATCGCGGGAATACTAATTCTTATTGTGGGGAGAATTTTTACCAGTATATCGCGAACGATAAGATATCACCCATCCCTACATATTAGTCTATTTTAAAATAAGCCTACATGTTGAAATTAATGTGAAATGCTGTGATCTTTCTTTATTCCATTGACTGATCCAGGGTGTGGGGACTCTCGTGTTAATTTCTACATTTTCCAGCTCATTTTCTGCAAGAAAACTTACCCACATCTGCAGTCATGCACACCATGGCATTTTAAATCACTAACAAATAGGGCTGGGCGATTAAAATCTCAATTTCTTTCCGAACATTTGACCGATTCTTGATTTTTTATTTTTTATTTTTAACTAGTCAACTTGAAAATGTAACTACTGGATTCAAGTAACTTTTTCTTTATTAAGTCTCTATTTAAGAGGAAATTCTATTCCAAATGCACCACATCAGCATGATGTAAATGTTAAACAAATCACTTGTTAAATATATTTGCAGAAAATATGTATAAACTACAACTACATATTGTACAAACTTGTCTTATAGTTAATACGAAATCATTCTAAGAAAATGCTTCAAAAAAAAATCTCAAAAGTCAAGGTAATTCGAATTTAAAATGACTTAAGGTATAACACCGGAACAGTATTATTAATTATAAATGTTCTGTAAACAACAGCAGCTTTCAGCCTGTCACCATGATGCTAACAAGAAATATCAGACATGCAGTAGTAATTAAAAAAAAATGTATATGCTTGCGCCGATTTTCTTCATGTAAACATGAACGCGTTTGACTGTTGCACTCGCATCTCTTGCAGCGTCTCATGCATGAAACGGCATTCTCAAAAAAACACAGCGTTCAAGTAAAAAGAAGTTCACTCCCATGTTCTTGCGTGTTTTTTCCTATTCCACTGCCCGCATCGCATCTGTCAACACAAAAGCGCATTCTGTGTGAATACCGCCTATCGATATGAGCTCGTCACACTTGAGCGGTTAATCACGTGCGCCGATATGCGGTTGGATCGATCTTTTCTCTTTACAGTTATCACCACATATTGTCAAAGTGTCTAATTCTAACGTTTGGTAATATTTCTATTCAAAATCGCGATTCCTTGATTTCTAAAGAATAAAATCGCAGCAAAACATTAAATGAATCGATAAAATCTGAAAAATCGCCCAGCCCTACTAACAAACACTAAATTTTAGCTAACATGATTTCCATGCTAATCATACGGCAAATGTTCAATTTGGTTGAGTAGCCTACTTTATACTACTCAGCCTGGTTTATACTTGCCGCATCAGCACGAGCATGAAGGTGCGCACAGCAAAAATGACATAATATTGAGGAACCGATGGACGGTTTTCAAGCTAAAGTAAAGAGAAAGTGAACATGCTGTTATTCTTGAGGGGGGAAATTCTTTGTTATTCTTTTTTTTTCATTTTGAAAAGCTTTTTATCTTTGCTGTTTACCTCACTTTACGCTATGGAGGCTCTATTTTTATTTTTTTGATTCCTCAGTGTTTGCTAAACGTTCTGTAATTTATTAGTCGGTACATAATAGGCCTACAGCATGTGGTGTATGCCATGCCTCGTCTTATTCATTTTTATGAATGATTTTTTGTTAATAAACGTTTTGTAAGCTTGTCATTGTATTTTACTATTTTATTGTTTAAGTTTAAGTTTCTCTTTTATTGTATCCCTTAGGAGAAATGTGTCTTAGGCAACCGGGAGAGCAGATCAAACATACTAAAAAAAATAAATAAATAAAATAAAATAAATAAATATTACACCATTCCAAAACATATAATTCCTATCCATAACATATTATAGATTCAATAGCTGATCTGTAAAACAGTAACATGATAGTTTTATCCACTCCATAAACCCTGAGCCTTCGCAAAAAATGCAAGCGCTGACTAGCTCGTGTACAAACATAGTCCACTTGATGACTCCATTGCAGCTGAGAATCAAAGTAGATACCTAAATACTTATATGTTACCTGCTCAACTTCCTCCTCATTAACTAAAATTGGACTATGATCACCCACCAACCTCGGGTCAAAGATAATTTCTTTAGTTTTTTTGACATTCAACATCAAGTTGTGTTCCTCACACCACTGCACAACCCCTTCTATCGCTGATTTATACATGCCGACATCTGAATTATTTGTCAGCAACTGTTGTTGTATTTTTTTATTAAGAATAACAATGAATCCATCTTTTGTTTTAGTCTTAAAAAGTGAAAGGTGTGTAGATGTATGTAAGCAAAACAGACAATTATCTTTTCTCGTAAAACGTCACACCAAGATCACAAATTCGAAAGTGAAAGCACCCCAAGCCCGGCTTATAACACAGCAAAAGAGGAACTCCCATTCACAAAATTCAAATCACAAACAATACTACTGATGAAAAAGAACGGGTTGAATATGAACTACTTTTGTTTCCATATAACTATAAACTATGATAAAAGTTCATCAGCATGCATTGATTAATCCTATGTTGTAGCACAAAAAAATAAAATATTGCGACTAAATCACATGCTCCTGTGACCAACTGAGAAAGTTAGTCGCAAAAGAGTGACCAGTGGGAAGAATGAGTCTGGAGCCCTGAACCATGTTATTTCCTTTATCCTTATTGAAAACAAAATAACAGAAATTTTCAGACATGAAAACGTTTTTCCCAGCAGGAAGCATCCTATTTAATTTACTGTAGCATCGTCTCATCGTGCGTTTGAGAATAATTGTAGACCGGTGTTATTTGCACACGCACCAACAGGTGGCTCACGTGAGTCAACATGTGTCAACAGAACCAGGAACTATGATGAAGCAGCGCTAAATATATTGTTATTATGTCAAAATACTAATTTAATTTTAAATGAAACAACTGTAATACTGATAGTATTCCCCCTTTTTACAAAATGTAACTGCAATCTAAACACTTTGCACTGAATACCTTTTGATGTAACTGTAACAAATTAGTTATTAGATTTTTGTGTCCCGATTACGTGTTACATGTATTATGTTACTCCCCAACCCAGCATAATTGTACATTAATTATTTTTAGGGGGAGAACAGCAAGAAAACAGGTAAACCTTGGTCCACAAAATGTTTGCGGTTACACTAATGTAAAAAAATTAATCTGATGTGTCTCACAAGCTCTGAGCTCAACAGTTTTACTATTATAAAAAAGCAATGAGCGAAAATAAAATAAAAATGCGATGGAACTGACAATGAAAAGATTTCTAAGACCTTTGAAATGTGGCTTTAAGACATTTTAATGATAATTAAGCCCTTATTTTTACATTAAGGAATGTAACAGGCCTGGACTGGTCATCGGGAGCACTGGGAGAATTCCCGGTGGCCTGGCGGCTGATTTGGCCAGCTGCCCTGTTTTTTATTATTATTATTTCATATTTATGCCTTCCCAATGTACCAAAGTGAAAATTAATGAGTCACAGCCTAATAATGCAATAGTATGTTCAGTGTTAGGATTGTTCATTAAGTAAATTGTACTAATGTTGACATTTAGGCACTTTAGAAAATATGTTATAATATATTTGTATGAAATATGGGTTTGTTAAATCTAGGGTATTTAAGTCATTTTAAGATAAATACCAACATTCTGTGCAAACAAATTGCAATGATGTGGTTGTTCTGAAACAAGGTCGTAACAGTAAACCTGCTGGTGAAGAAGTGACAGGTACAAGAAAATAAAGGGAGAGACAGATATTGGGGAAAATTAATAAAAGAAAAAGGGAAGTGAAGGTGCAGCAGTGTAAGAGAGAACCTTTATTTTCCACGGCCTTAGACTAAGGATTTCGACCTTTTTATGTGATGGCCATATAAATAATAGGGTTGTCTGTGGTTTCAGAAATTGTTGTGAATGTATAGGCTATATACAGAAAAAAGGGGCCAAAATTGCACCTTTTGGGGTACAACAGCTTGAGCAGTACCCTTAAAAGAACATCGTTGTACCTTTTTTTAACCTATAATAGACATATAAGTATCTTAAGGGAATTACTAATCTAAGGTAATAATATGTAACTATTAGGGGTAAAACAGGTACAAATATGTCCTTTTAAGGGTATTGCTAGAGTGGCAAACCTGTACAACAAAAGGTACAATTTTGGCCCCTTTTTCCTATATGACCTGGATGAGAGTGAGATTTCCTGGCCTGAAATTGCAGTCCAGTGTTGTGCCCATTTTCGACCCCCTGCCAAATTATTACCCCTGTCGTTGAAATCGCTATCTGATTGCCTAATCCTAACCCCTCCCATACATCTAAACCTAAACCTACCAATACTAGGGAGGGGGGTAATAATTTGTCAGGGGTCAGAATTGGGCACAATGGAATCGGCCCTGGAATGTAAACCTTTTTGAAGATCTGATTCTGCAGGCACCCTGTTAAATCTTTGTTAGCCTAATGTACCACAAACAATAATGTAAGTTGATGAATGAAGAATAAACACCTCCTTGTTCCTCGTGTTTTATTCTCCGGGTTTCTGGTTCCTCGTGTTTTATTCTCCAGGTTTCTGGTTCCTCGTGTTTTATTCTCCAGGTTTCTGGTTCCTCGTGTTTTATTCTCCAGGTTTCTGGTTCACTCTTGTCCTCCTCACTCTCCTCTTTAACAAACAGCATCTTCACAGCACCAGATCTCAGTTCAGATGATACTCCTCCAGATATTCCTGCTTGCTTCAAAACTTAGTCACGACTGTGAAGATGAGAATATTACAGGTCTTTACTGACCTGATTCAAAAACTGTACTTTTTATACTTACAGAAAGAAAAACATTTCTAGGCAGCATCACGACAAAACAACAGAGAGCGCAGTGAAACTAATCGTCTTCTTCTGAGGTTTAATGGTGTTTGGTGAACAAACGTATGTGTTTTAGCTCCACCGGCAGGACTGGAGTGTGAAGCGAAGAGAGGAGGGAAATAATACGGGGAAATTACTTCGTGCGTCTATATGCGCTGTTTTTTCCCCTTTAAAAAGCCGATCTGCACAAATAAATGAAAAGAACTTAAAATTAAACAGTATTTGTGAGTGAGGATTAGAAGAGAAAAACAAGCGAAGTCAAATATTTCAGTGAAAATTAAGGTTCCCTAAAAACCCTTTCACACGGTACGCGGCAGTAGTCGCGAGTGTCTAGTTCATTCTCAATGGGACACATACGGAAAGCGCCAAAATGCGGGCGGTTACGCTGGCGGCGCGGAGGCGGAGCGCAAGCGGTGCTCGTGCACCCAAAATCCTGCCGCTTCCACCGGCGCCGCAAAGATAAAAATATTTTATCTTTTTTTTTGTGAGCGGCAGCGGCACCCGCGTCGGTTTCAACCAATCAGTGAACTAACTGAACAGCCTATTGAAAAAATAGAGGAGAAGATTTTTTCAAGTGTAATAGATTTCCCAGAACTGTATGAACCATCTAAAATCTCATACAGGGACATAAATAAAATAATATTTAATTCAATCGTAACCTCACATGTATGCTCTTTAGGCAAATCATCAAAAACAACTTCACTTGTGCCAAACGAAAAAAAAAGGTTAATAATGACAACAACCCAGCGAACACACGACGTAACAGTTACGTAATGTATGCGTACTTTTTGGTAATTTCATGACTTACTGAACTTTTTAGGCAACGTAACCACGAGGATCATATGCACGTAATTCAACACAACGTCGTCAGCACGTCCTCCCAACGTAACAAGATAACCAAGCATGCTGCACGTCCCAGACAGGTTCTCTATTCGTAATATATTGTAACTTCATGACTTATTGGCAACGTAACTACAACGTCGTATGCACGTAATTTCATTACCATAATTTTTGTACGTTCTTTATATGCTCTCTGATTAACATAATGCTATTTAAAAAGTTTAATTAAACTTCAGACACAAGACTGAACGTTCCTTAAAGACAAAATGTGTTTCTTTTCACCAAGTCAGAATATGAACATGCTTTTAATATAGTCACGTGGCATAAGGCGCGCGCACAGTATTGACAGGAAAGGAAAATATTTTTTTCTGAGTTGTGAAACTCTGTATTTCGTAAGGACTTATGAAAGTAAAATAATGACACAGACTGGCTACACCATCTCATCTGCCGCAGATACTGTCAGGACAGCGCGTTTGTCTGATGCACTTTTCACTTCAACTGTGTCTGATAGGAGAATTAGCTTTTCTAAGGTGAGTCTTACAATTTATAATAAATAAATAAATAGGTTGATAAAATGTATAAAACAAAGTTCTTGAACTCTGTAAAGACGCTAAAACCCTTTTTTAATATTATTGTTTTTATGTATAGTAGCCTAATGGTGGCCGTTGAGAGTTACCGTGGCAACCGCGGACACAGCTGCTGGAGAGGAGAGCAGCGTCTGACATTTCTCTCTGTTTCTCGTCAGTTATACCAAACAAAGTTCAACAGCTGCGACAGATTGGTTACGTAACATATGTTAATATTACCCACAGTCTACTTTAAGTACTTTTGTTAATATTTATACCTCTGGTTATGGTATCTTTCCTTAATTATCTGAAATGTCTGCTAGCAAATATTACGCTAGCATAGAAGCATAACTATAGCATAATAGATTTGAGCTCTTATTAATGAAAGTTTGGGCTTTTAATCACATCTTATGTGTAAAGGAGGGATTTTGATAGCTTTGTAAATGTTTTTGCTGATAATTTGGCAATAGATAAATGGAAGTAAGCTAATTAATTTAACCTAAAAGTCTGCACTGTAGAGTCTATCGGTGAGGTCACTTACACGCAGGCTAAAATGGGCGAAACTGGTTCAAACACGTTTAGATTTTTCATTGTAAACAAATATTGATAAAAATTGTACTGTGATTTCAGGAGCGTCTAAAAAAGGAAGTTCCAAGAAAATTTCTAATGGGAGCTGCTGAATGAGATATAGAAAATACAGGTGATCCGAGAAAACTTATTAAATAACTTCATATTTATTTTTTACAATATATCATCATTCATCTGTAAAATCTAAAAATGTGAATTCTGCTATCTTAAGATATTTTTGTATGCTTTCCATATTATTATTTCTATTTTCTGCATTTCACCTATGCTCTAGTTTGTTTATTTCTAATAAGGAGTTGTCAAAAATACGTCACTTCCTGTTTGTTGCTACAGCGTGTTTTGAGTTTGAGCTGTCAAGTTAAAATTTTATCGTCTATTTTTTATCTTAAAATCAATTTTATACACCATCATTTTCGTTTCTATAACGTGTGGATATATCGTGGATATATCGTATTCTACAACAAAAACAATCAGAGCGCCTTGTTATCACTAGTTTTATTTTGATTTCCCGAATCTGCTATTAGCTTATAGCCCGTTAGCATCGCCAGCGTGGTTGCCGCCAATCTCGCTTACATTGCTAATACTCTGTTCACACACATTACCATTGTTTTACTCACTGTTACTTGCATTAATGGCGGATGTGTGTCTACCTTTGAGTGCAGCTCGAGCTGCAGGCAATGGAGAAGCAGATCCGCGACCTGGTGGAGAAGCAGGCCCAGCTGAGAGAGCGGAGAGCCACGCTGGAAACATCCCAGGCTGATGCTCACAAGTCCGGGGTAAGTATACAGCGCGCTGCTAACTCTCCCACCACCTCTACTCCGTGTGTTTCTCTGCACAGGCCCGGTGCACCCAGGACGCGATCTTCCCAGATGTCCTTCATTCCGGCGCCGGGACACCACGGACCCTGGGTGAACCCACAGCGAAAGACGCGAGCCAGGCCCCGAGCGACAACCTCTCCCCCTCCGCCGCCTCCGGTCTTCGAGATCTCCACCTGGAACCGCTTCGCTCCCCTCCGCGAGACGGAATGCTGTGATCGTCGTAGGGATGTAATGGTATGAAAATTTCATATCACGATTATAGTGACCAAAGTTATCACGGTTTTGTTCAAATTAGATTAAAATGTTCAAAAAGAACTAATACACACACTGAAAACATTTCAATAAGTTTTATATTTGAAAATCAACAAACAACAAACACAATTAGCAGCTGTATGCACTTTTTTTTAGCATAAACATTAAATGTTAGCCCTAACATTAACATGAAGCCCTAATAATAATAATAATAATAATAATAATAATACTTGATTCTGTTCTGCTGCATTTCCTTCCTTCCAAAAAAATCTGTGTAATAAGTTAACTATGAATATACAATACATTATCCCTTAAATGGCAACCTTATACTTTGAACTTTCGTTCGTCTTGGCTCAAAGCCACTTGCTGAGAACCTTTCTTCGCGGAAGCTTTGCGTTAATTACAAGTGAGATAACAAAATGTTTAATCTGTAATCAATATTGTTTTGTCCAATTATTAACCCAGTTAGTTTTGGTATTGAGGTAAAAGTTACCTTGCATTCGCTATATAACAGTGGGGGGTGGTCACGAAGATGACTGAGCAAATTTGACACGTTTCCCCCTTTTGCAGCGACTTTCTTCTTGCAAGATCAGCAGACAGGGTGACCGTCCTCGATTAAATTGCCTTCAGGACTCTTGTAAAAGCCAAAATACGACCAGACCTCCGATTTGGTTCTCTTAGATGGCTGGAAAATCTCCCGAGCGCTGTCACTGCTTTCCACCATTTCGTCTCGTGCAAAAAAAACAACAACAACATTGCATGCTGCTTCTGCGTCAGGCTGGTGCTGGCTGGACAGGATTTACCGCGAGTTTTCAAAATCGCAATAATCAAACACGATTTTGATGATAATTAAATTTTAAACGATAATACTAACCGTCAGGGCATTTTATCATGATTTATCGTAAAACCGGTAATCGTTACATCCCTAGATCGTCGGAGACTCCATCGTCCGGCATGTTCGTGCTACGTTAGCTGAAGGTAAAGTGCACACTCACTGTTTCCCTTGTGCTCGTGTTCTCGATGTTTCTGCGCAGATACCCGCGATCCTGAAGGGCGACGAGAGCCCCGGAGCTGTCGTGCTTCACGCCGGCGTTAACGACACCAAGCTGCGGCAGACGGAGACATATCGCCTGCGACGACAATCACATGTCAGGACCGCTTCCCACGTATAGACGAGGACACGAAAGGTTCAGGAGACTGTTTGCTTTAAATGAATGGTTGTCATGGTGTAAAGAACAGAAACTGCTCTTTGTTAATAATTGGAATCTTTTCACGATAATACTAACCGTCAGGGCATTTTATCATGATTTATCGTAAAACCGGTAATCGTTACATCCCTAGATCGTCGGAGACTCCATCGTCCGGCATGTTCGTGCTACGTTAGCTGAAGGTAAAGTGCACACTCACTGTTTCCCTTGTGCTCGTGTTCTCGATGTTTCTGCGCAGATACCCGCGATCCTGAAGGGCGACGAGAGCCCCGGAGCTGTCGTGCTTCACGCCGGCGTTAACGACACCAAGCTGCGGCAGACGGAGACATATCGCCTGCGACGACAATCACATGTCAGGACCGCTTCCCACGTATAGACGAGGACACGAAAGGTTCAGGAGACTGTTTGCTTTAAATGAATGGTTGTCATGGTGTAAAGAACAGAAACTGCTCTTTGTTAATAATTGGAATCTTTTCTGGGAGCGTCCTAGGCTTTTTCGTGCTGATGGCCTGCACCCCAGCAGGAGCGGAACTCCTGTTGGACAGCATCTCCAGGACGCTGCGCTCCATATGACTAGTAAGCCAGTTCTCAAATAACTGCTGTGATGGCTTTTGCTCTACCCACTTAAATATCAGTGTAAAGAAATAGTCTTTGAGAGAAGCAGTCTTTATCAGCGGAAGTTAAAAGCAGCTCGTAAGTGTATTTACTTGTCTCATTAGTGTGTAGTGCAGTTGTCGTTGCTAGGAAACGCTTGTTGTGTTTACTGTGTGGAGATGTGCTGATATCGCGTTTGGTCTCGTTCTGTATCACGTATCTTGTCAGTGTCTGCGCTTGCTTGGCCATTTGTTGCGGAGAAAATAAGGAAAGTGTCCAGCTGAATTAATTTAGTATTTTGTTAGACGGGTATAAAAAAAGCTTAGTTTACCGCAGGAGCCGTCCCGTGAAGGCCTTCTCGTGTGAAGACCGAAGAGTGTAAAGACCATCGACTCTACCACCGGGCAGGGACACCGGCAAAGGATAGATAAGTATCGCTTTTTATTTCTCCTATTTCCTACTTCTGTTTCAGTTTTTTTTATAACCATTATGAATGTGTAACTGTGTGTTCTGCAGGAACTATGGAGGAGTGTATGTGGGCCTTCCTGCTGATCTGAACACAGTAGCTGCCAGCCAATCAAAATCCACACGTAAAGGTGAGGAGCACACTCAAAGAAAAACAGTCATAAAGATCAAATAACATAAGTTTCATATAAAAAAGAAAAGTATATTTGTCGCCGGTTACGAATTGCAGTCAGGTCGAGACCCCGATGAGGACGACGAGCATACAGATGAGCTTCCCTGAGACGGTTTCTGACAGTTTGTGCAGAAATTCTTTGGTTATGCAAACCGATTGTTGCAGCAGCTTGTTAGCAGGTCCTGGGCTGGTGTGGTTACATGTGGTCTGCGGTTGTGAGGCCGGTTGGATGTACTGCCAAATTCTCTGAAACGCCTTTCGAGACGGCTTATGGTAGAGAAATTAACATTCAATTCACGGGCAACAGCTCTGGTGGACATTCCTGCAGTCAGCATGCCAATTGCATGCTCCCTCAAAACTTGCGACATCTGTGGCATTGTGCTGTGTGATAAAACTGCACATTTTAGAGTGGCCTTTTATTGTGGCCAGCCTAAGGCACACCTGTGCACTAATCATGCTGTCTAATCAGCATCTTGATATGCCACACCTGTGAGGTGGATGGATTATCTCGGCAAAGGAGAAGTGCTCACTAACACAGATTTAGACATATTTGTGAACAAGATTTGAGAGAAATAGGCCTTTTGTGTACATAGAAAAAGTCTTAGATCTTTGAGTTCAGCTCATGAAAAATGGGGGCTAAAACAAAAGTGTTGCGTTTATAATTTTGTTCAGTGTATGTAAAATTACTAACAATATCTGTAAATTAACAACTTGACTGTTATTTTACGGATTATATTATTAATGACAAATTGCAGTAATTCTAATTTTTTTATACAGGAAAATAACTATTATTTATACAGTATTTTTCCTGTTTTCATACATTACATACAAATTCATGTAAAATGACAAAAATATCTGTAAATTAACAACTTCACTGTTATTTTAAGTATTATTCCATTAATGACAAATTACAGTAATTCTAATTTTTATACAAACAAATTACTGTATTATTTATACAGTATATTTTCTGTTTTCTTAAATTATGTACAAATTTACGTAAAATTACAATAATTATCTGTAATTGAATAATGTAGCTCATTATATTAAAGGTTTATGTCCATACTAACAATTTAATGTTCTTTTTTGTAATTTTAAAGTAAATCTTATTAGTTTTATATTTAGCTGTATTTTTACATTCAAACTCTGTAATTTTATATAGAATAGAAATAGAATATATATAGAATAGAAAATCAGCCTTAAAATCCACAACTCATGTAACGGTGCAATAAAAAATGTATTGCATTAAAAAAAATTATTTTTATAAAAAAATCAACCAATAAAGAGTGAGTGTATAAAAGTATACAGTCAATAAGAGAAACGCAACATACAGACACATGTAATCACAAGAATTTATTGCAGAAACGTCAAAAAGCAGTACCACAGTAGACCAAATGACGACGCTTTGCAGTCGTAGTCCTCTCTGGTGGAATATAATAGTTTAGTGTGAGGAGCAGGGCATAATTTAAGTTGTTAAACGATGCAAATACTATCCCGATCCACTCTGTAAATGCGCACGTTTCTCATTCAAAACATGCATCACCGGAAACATGTCATGTCGCAATCTATGGCGAAACTGGCGAGAGATGTAAAGGGTGCTGGTCATGTCAATATAACTGCACAAGTAGCCAAACACGTACACACACACACACGTTGTGTTTCCATGTTTTATGGGGACATTCCATAGGCGTAATGGATTTTATACTGTACAAATTTTCTATCGCCCTATACACCAACCCTACACCTAAACCTACCTGTCACAGGAAACTTTATGCAATTTTAGATGTTCAGAAAAACTTAATTATTTATGATTTATAAGCTTGTTTCCTCATGGGGGCTTATGTGGGGAGATTTGGTCCCCATCATGTGATAAATACCAGGTACACACACACACACACACACACACACGACTGCCATGATTTTGCCAAGTAAGACCTGTTCCTGAATCAGCATATTTTATTGATCCTGTCTGAAAATATAGTCCCTCTGGCCCTAAACCTAATTTAACCCTAAAATCAGAGGGAAATGACGGGTGGTGAACAGTGAATAGCACAGATGCACCTAACCCTAGCATAATGTGAAATCACCATTTGATCAATTAATTAAATGTAACAGCCTACAAATAAAAATAAATAGACACTTTCACTTAAAACAAGTTTTTTTTTTTTATTAGTTGCAACGCTATTTGCTGTCTCGCAGTGTTGCTTTGAGCGTGATTGGTTAATCTGACCGTTACTCAGGAATCTGGCCAATGACTAGTGAGTGCGCTGTTTCCCACGTTAAATTTGAAAATACACTGTTGCAGTGCCGCCGATTGGCTTTAGTGATGGGAAGTTCGGATCATTTTACCGACTTTTGAGTCTCGTTCAGCAAAATGAACAAATCTTTTTTCGAGTCATTTCGTTCATTTTAACAAAATATAATTAAAATGTTACGTGTTACTTCCCTAATATGTCTACTACTTACACAAACGTTGATCACACTACAAACAATACACAACTGCTATAAAAAACAGAAAAGATTAATTAATTGTTTACCTGAGTCTTCAGTCTATGATTAGCTCGCCACCTCTTATTTGACAAGTCTTCGGGTTTGGGCTTATGGGGCTGTCACGTGATGAATGAACGACTCAAACCCGAAGACTCGAGATAAACTAATCAACTCTCTTTCCGGCTCAGACTGCATAGGGTAAACTTATGGGGCTGTCACGTGATGAACAATTGACTCGAAAAACCCGAAGACTCGAAACAGGTGAACTACTTGACTAATTCCAGTACAGAACCTATAGGATGTTGCGCATGCGCGACTGAACGAATCACTCCCCGAGACGACTCGTTCTTCCCGAGTCACATTAAAGATTCTTTCAAAATGAACGAATCGTTCAAGAACGACCCAACACTAATCGGCTTCTGCAGCAGTCTGCTTCATCGGTTCACTAGTAATGGCTTTTACATGGATTATTTTACATCAAACTGCAAAAGTTAAGTACGTTAAGTATCTTACATAATGTTCTATAGTTACATCAAGATACAGTGCATTGAAGTGAGATGCTAATCCCTGTCATGATAATTAAATAACCATCTAATCGCGATTATTTGATCCAATCAGATTGTTTTGTTTTGTTTTGATTCAAGCAGTACATCCTCCAACACAGGATGCAGTACATTTATACTTGCATCATCTGCCTGACAATTTATAAAATACAAGCAGATGAATATTACATTTGAGTGTGTTAATTTTAAAACTTCATATTTATAGAGAATTAGCATTTTGTCTGACCCACTACACAGTATATATACCTGTGATGATGATTCCGGAACCCAATGCTGTAACTCCTCCTGACACCACAGTATAAGCAAACATTCACAAGGTACCATGACATTTTAAGTGTCATTTTCTCAAATGCTTTTACCTGAAAGGTGTCCTCTAGCTTCCTTTTCCTTAGTCTCAAAACAGGCTGCCAATCACCCCTTAGTACGGCTTTAGACTCCTCAGTGAAGTGTGCAAAAACCTTTCCGTGGCTAGTACATAGTCAGGACAATCCTTTCAATAAAGGGCGCATGATCCAACTGTAGTTGAATTTTATCAAGATTTATACCTTCTGCTTCATCAGCTCATCCACGAGACGGTCTTCTGACACATTCATCATTTGAACTTTAGCTGACGTGACCTTTGCTGTTGCAACTTTTGCAAATTCTGTACTCAGTACAGTGTGATCCATCCTAGTTTTGGGTCCTATCCATGGAGCCCACCTAGAATAACTAGGTTGCACAGCAAATGGATTTTTGGTCCGGCCTGAGACAAATACACATATTTAGAAGTCTACATTATATAAACATTGAGACAAAGTGCAATTTTCTTGTGGTTTAAGAGATAAAACACTTACTGGGAACAAATCCTCGAGCGATCATCTCAAGATTGACTGATTTCCAGAAATCCTCAATGTCTACTTCCCCTCTAAACTCATATATATATATATATATATATATATATATATATACACACATATATATATATATATATATATATATA